ATACTGGACATAAAATTCTAGAAGTTTATTGTTTTCTGCTATGTAATTTACTTTCGACTTAAAATTTACTTTGTGAATTCAAGATTCACAGGAGAGAAATTGTATGATTAAAGTAAAAACTTCTGACTTTGATCTCTCATGAAAATTAACATTTATAAAAATCTAATATTCACTTTAACTTATACTCTCTGAAGAATATCTTCCAAAGTACCTTTTTTGCACCATTTTACATGTCACTAATTAAAGCTAACAGAACTTACAGCAAAATATTCAACCTAAAATAATTAGAATGTATTGGATGGCATAATTAATAAAAATAAGTATTTTAGAATCTCTTTGAAGAGAGAAATTGATTTGTATTGACCGTAATATGTTTGGGATAGAGGAAACATTACATTTTAACATAACTCTTGGAAATGTGGAGGGACAGTTGGATTCTTTCATTTTGTCCCTATTGTGTAAATTTAAAAATCCCTTTGAAGTATGCAAGTTTTCTTTAGCAAAACTTCAGGATTTGTCATTGAACCAAAAAGGTGGAAAACATCAGAAGAACCATTCCCTTATAAATGGCAGTGCAACACCACTTGAAAAGAACAACACCAAGAATTTATTCTTTTAAAGAATATGTATGTCTCCTTTGTGTTCTAAAACACTATTGTTCGCCTAACACAAAGCTACCAATTTTCTACTATAATTGTGAAGTGAATAAATGACCTCCTAACACCAAATGGCTGGAAATTTGAGCCTCTGTTTCGAAGGCTGAAATGTAAGAACATTACCCTGACCAGAGTTTTCTTCTTTTTCTTTAAACTCACTTGTAGTGGCATTGCACAAAGATGGTGAGCCAATATTCCCCAAAGACAAATTTTTTTAAAAGGCAGGAAATATGAAACACTACATAAAGTTCAGCTAAACAGAAAGAGTTTTGAAGTGTAAATCTAGCAAAAATACAGCATTTGAAGCTTATTCTAAAATGTAATCTGAAGCTTTCTTTTAAGCAATAAGATTATAGAATTTTGCCGGTTTTTCCTCTGAATGTTTTCTTTTTACTTTTAAAATGATCTGCAAATAGCCGAAAAACCTCCAACATTATAAATTTGGAGGAATTTTATATATACTATTTGTTATTGTATTTCGACATCAATGGTATTTTTGGGGAAATAGTCTATCACTGGAAATCTGGACTGCTGAGAAAAGAGCACACAGATAAGTTATTTTTTTGAGAGTTTTTTTGCTATAGGGCGTGTTCGCTCGCCAGACAGACAGAGAGAGACAGAGAAACAGAAAGCGAGAAATCACCCCCCAGGGGGGGATGGCCACACCGCAATCCCTTCTCCTCTGTTCTCCTCTCGGGATCTTGAGCACGCACGCACACGCGTCAGGCGTGAGTTTTAAGCCACCAGGTTTGGGACGCAAACCGTGGTTGACTACGTGGGAGTCCAGCGACATAGCCATTACGCTAACTGCTGGTCCCACAGATAAATTTTTTAATCAGAAGAATTTTTAGGGACTAGAAGTTGACATAATGGTTATGTCGCTGGACTCCCATGCAGTTGATTGCAGTTCGAGTCAGACCCTGTGGTGGCTTAATCTCATACCAGGTCGTATGCGTGCATTCCCAAGATCCTGAGAGGAGAATGAAGGAGAAGGGATTAAGGTATGGCCATCCTCCTGGGGGATTATTTCTCGCTTTCTGTCTCTTTCTCTGTCTTTCTGGAGAGCGCATGTGCCCCATATCAAAAACCTCTCCAAAAAAAAAAAAAATCAGAAGAGTTTTTCACACTTTTAAGTTTTTTCTTTTTCTTTTCTATAAGGTTTGTGTACTTGCCAGAGACAGAGACAAGAGAGAGAAAGTGACTGGAGTCATGCACCTTCACCTCCATGCCACCTGCTGGTCCAAACAGAAAGAATTTTGTAAATGACAGTTTTCATATTGCAATACAAAGGAAGGATGATTCTCATTATTAGTTGTTAAAGGAATCAAGAGCAATAAGAACTTAAATATAGCTCTATTAAATGAAATTTTGGATAAATGAAAAAAATTATTTAAAATTGTCCATTTTCTCTGTATTCAGTGCTGGATTATATAACCCACTTCCTTTTTATTATAAATACTTATTGCACTTATTAGGGAAATTATCCTTTGCACTAAGGATAAAAGAAACACCATGATTCATGACATCATTTGTAAGGGAGTCTTCCACTTTGAGGAGTATACATGAAAGGAAGACCCTAAGCAATTCATGTTTGCATTGAGAATCATAGATTTTAAAGTTGGCCAGAAAAATAGATGTTCCATTTTTTTAAAGTTAGCTCTAGGGTGAAATCATAAGTATTCAAGAGTTCTGCTTGAACACTTCCATTAATGGTCAGTTTTCTATTTCTTAGGAAAAGTTATTTCTCTGCTACATACATACTCATCACTCCTTGAGAGTTGATTTCTGTGTGAGGTCCAAATATGTTTTAGTGCTATAATTTTATCTTCAGGAATAGTACAGATTTAGCCTATAGATAAACTTTTAAAAAACAGTAAAATATAACTATACCTAAACCAATAATATAGTAGCATTACTCCTTCTATAACCCACAATTGGCCAGATGGTCTTGTTAGTGCTTAATTTATTCAATTATTATTATTATTATTATGTTATATTAGGTTTTCTAAAAGATTACTGAGTGTATCTTCTCAAAGTATTGTCTTTAGGTATGAGGTCTAAAATTAGACAAAGTCCTTCCATGCCTGCAGAATACCACATGCTAATGTATATTTGCATTTTACTCTTATTTTACTATAAGTTTGTGGTTAAATAAGCACCCACATCTTTTTCATTTAAACGGCTGTATTTTCATCATGCTGCCTATGAAAGGGTTTGAAGCTTCTCAATCTAATGCTTCATGGTTGTGCTAAACCTTTTATTGTTGACTTCAACCAGGGATCCAGAGTAATTCTGAACCCATTTTCTGTGCTGTATCCTCTTCATCCTGGATATTTCTGAAAATGTAATACTATGTTTTTTTCTCGTTACTAAAATTAGGAGTCTGGCTTGTGGAAAGGACCCTTCTTGATTAGTCTGAATAGTGGTTTAAATGCATCATAGTAGTTTTATTTTAAATGTCTTATGGTGCTCAAAAGATAAAGGTGGTACCTTTATCACCGCAATCCCTTCTCCTCTGTTCTCCTCTCGGGATCTTGAGCACGCACGCACACGCGTCAGGCGTGAGTTTTAAGCCACCAGGTTTGGGACGCAAACCGTGGTTGACTACGTGGGAGTCCAGCGACATAGCCATTACGCTAACTGCTGGTCCCACAGATAAATTTTTTAATCAGAAGAATTTTTAGGGACTAGAAGTTGACATAATGGTTATGTCGCTGGACTCCCATGCAGTTGATTGCAGTTCGAGTCAGACCCTGTGGTGGCTTAATCTCATACCAGGTCGTATGCGTGCATTCCCAAGATCCTGAGAGGAGAATGAAGGAGAAGGGATTAAGGTATGGCCATCCTCCTGGGGGATTATTTCTCGCTTTCTGTCTCTTTCTCTGTCTTTCTGGAGAGCGCATGTGCCCCATATCAAAAACCTCTCCAAAAAAAAAAAAAATCAGAAGAGTTTTTCACACTTTTAAGTTTTTTCTTTTTCTTTTCTATAAGGTTTGTGTACTTGCCAGAGACAGAGACAAGAGAGAGAAAGTGACTGGAGTCATGCACCTTCACCTCCATGCCACCTGCTGGTCCAAACAGAAAGAATTTTGTAAATGACAGTTTTCATATTGCAATACAAAGGAAGGATGATTCTCATTATTAGTTGTTAAAGGAATCAAGAGCAATAAGAACTTAAATATAGCTCTATTAAATGAAATTTTGGATAAATGAAAAAAATTATTTAAAATTGTCCATTTTCTCTGTATTCAGTGCTGGATTATATAACCCACTTCCTTTTTATTATAAATACTTATTGCACTTATTAGGGAAATTATCCTTTGCACTAAGGATAAAAGAAACACCATGATTCATGACATCATTTGTAAGGGAGTCTTCCACTTTGAGGAGTATACATGAAAGGAAGACCCTAAGCAATTCATGTTTGCATTGAGAATCATAGATTTTAAAGTTGGCCAGAAAAATAGATGTTCCATTTTTTTAAAGTTAGCTCTAGGGTGAAATCATAAGTATTCAAGAGTTCTGCTTGAACACTTCCATTAATGGTCAGTTTTCTATTTCTTAGGAAAAGTTATTTCTCTGCTACATACATACTCATCACTCCTTGAGAGTTGATTTCTGTGTGAGGTCCAAATATGTTTTAGTGCTATAATTTTATCTTCAGGAATAGTACAGATTTAGCCTATAGATAAACTTTTAAAAAACAGTAAAATATAACTATACCTAAACCAATAATATAGTAGCATTACTCCTTCTATAACCCACAATTGGCCAGATGGTCTTGTTAGTGCTTAATTTATTCAATTATTATTATTATTATTATGTTATATTAGGTTTTCTAAAAGATTACTGAGTGTATCTTCTCAAAGTATTGTCTTTAGGTATGAGGTCTAAAATTAGACAAAGTCCTTCCATGCCTGCAGAATACCACATGCTAATGTATATTTGCATTTTACTCTTATTTTACTATAAGTTTGTGGTTAAATAAGCACCCACATCTTTTTCATTTAAACGGCTGTATTTTCATCATGCTGCCTATGAAAGGGTTTGAAGCTTCTCAATCTAATGCTTCATGGTTGTGCTAAACCTTTTATTGTTGACTTCAACCAGGGATCCAGAGTAATTCTGAACCCATTTTCTGTGCTGTATCCTCTTCATCCTGGATATTTCTGAAAATGTAATACTATGTTTTTTTCTCGTTACTAAAATTAGGAGTCTGGCTTGTGGAAAGGACCCTTCTTGATTAGTCTGAATAGTGGTTTAAATGCATCATAGTAGTTTTATTTTAAATGTCTTATGGTGCTCAAAAGATAAAGGTGGTACCTTTATCTACTTGTTTTTCACAGGATGAGACTCCAAAATTGCTAAAAGCTAACAGCTCTTGGAAGGGTAAGTTCTAATATCAAGGATAACAGACATTAGCCAGAGAGCTCTTTTCTTCTCTATTGCGTGGGAACAGACTGTAGAAATGATGAACCTCAAAGACAAGTTGAGCTTAGATGGACTTGATAATCCCATCCAAAATGACAGCCCACCATGGTGAGGTACCTCTCTGACAATTCAGAGGGAAATAATGGGAGGAGGCCAATGAGTTCTGTTCCCACTCTGCCCGGAAAGCTGTTCTGCAGATTTAAAAGAGATGCTTTAGTTCTGATGAAGTGACAAGCTTGGACAGAGAACAACAGACGCCAAAGCTGTAAATGGCTGGCTTGGGTCCCTGTATGGCAAGGGTTCGGCTCTTTGAAAGTTAAAGAGTTTCTACGGAAGCATGAGGAAAGCCAAGTTTTAGTCAAACTGTTATTAAAATTAGGAGTGGCGTAAGTTGAGATCAGTTCTTTTAGATCTTGTTTCAAACTATGTTCTTGAAGTATATGCTGGTAAGTAGTGTTTAATTTACGCTGTGCAAATTAATGATAGCATTCTAGAAATCCATACTAGGAACTCAGAAAGCTAGAACTATTAATGAAATCTGGAGTTTGATAATGTTTTAAACGTATCGAGTAGCACCACTGTCTGGTGGCAATTAAATTGCAGTAAGTAGTGGTGTAATTTCACCAAGGGTGTAAGTAATTAAGCAATACAGTTTTATAGAGAACCTAAACATTACATCTGGGATTAGAAAACTGGCCTGAGAAGTAGTTAAATCCTATAAATAATTTTAATATAATTTTCTCCATGAAAATATGTAAAAATCTAATTCTATCTTTTATCTTTCTTTTTTCTCAGGGATAAAGAGTATGTATATTCACCACCTCCAAAAAATTGCATAAGAAATATGGCATGAAAAACTATGTTTTTGGAATAGTTAAACTTTTGAGCTGAAAGAGAAATGTTATATGAATCATCTGGTCCATTTTGTATTTCAGATGAGTGAAAGTGAATCTGAGAGAAGTAAAGTGCCTTGTCCAAGATCCCATAAAATAGATAATTATGGAGGGAGTGTCTGCGATTTCAGTCCAGTAATAGATCCAATGAAGAATATGGAAATTTATCCAAAATGTTTAGCAACCACAACAAACAGTTCACTAAATTTTCCAAAATGCTTGTAATAAAATATTGAAATTTGAGACACTTAACTGTTTGATAATCTCATTAGAAGGGTTCTCTGAGATTCAGAGGTTGTTACAGATCTAAATTGCCTGGAGGTTGAAGACACTGTGTGACCAAATCCAAGAACAGCACCAGAATTCAATCTCAAATGTAGTTCATTCCAAGCCACATGGAGTAAGCTGTCTCTCAAGGATGGGACCAGTGTGGTTCTTCTCACTTTTTACTTCCTTCTCAATGTGGTATAAAATTTAGGGAGTGAAATTAAGCAATAAGACTGAGCCAAACATCCATTAAAAGGCAGGTGTGGGGGACCAGCAGTTGACCTAATGGCTATGTCGCTGGACTTCCATGTAGTAAACCATGGATCAAGTCCTGGACCCGGTGGCTTAAACTTATGCCAGGCATGTGTGCGTGCGTGCCCAAGATCCCAAGAAAAAATGGAGGAGAAGGGATTGCGGTATGGCCACCTCCCCGGGGTTGAGGTGATTTCTCACTTTCTCTCTCTCTGTCTCTCTCTTTCTGGTGAATGCATGTACCCTATAGCAAAAACCTCTCCAAAAAAAAAAAAAAAAAAAAAAAAAAAGCAGGTGTGGGAGAGTAGAGTAGTGGCTTCAGTAGTAGGAGTTGGGGTGAGTGGAGCTCACACTCCTCCAACACTCATCAAAAGTTGATTGGGGAGCTCTATCTAATTTCCAGATGTCCTGCTTGGATAAGGATCTCAATGGCTGGACATTTTCTCCAAGACGTGTGTTTTGATGAATCACATCCGAACTTTGGACTATTCCTAAAATTAATATTTTTAAATAATTTAAGAATGCGATTTCAAAATTCAAGGCAAATAAAAAGCAAAACAAAAGCCTTGCATTCTGTGTTAGATTTATACAAAGGCAAAAGAGGGTATGTGACCAGATGCCCACTATCAAGTTCTTTTGTTGGACAATGGAAGAATAACTTCACCTAGAGAGTGCTACTGAAAATGTGGTCCCTGGAAGCCTTATACTGTTACATTGTTAAAAAAGCAAATTCTCTGGCCCTACCCCAGACCTATTAAATCAGAATCTCAGAAGGTGGTAACAGGGAACTGATGTTTTAACAAGCTCTCCACATGGTGCTTACCTTTGCTCAAGGATGAGAAGCACTGATGTAGTGTATCTGACACTTCTTGTCCTCTGTAGGACCATCATTAAGAGGGCCAAGGGACAAAAACCAGGAGTAAAATCAAGATTAAAAATGATAATTTTACGAAATGATTAAGCACATCTTAGCACTATTTTTAATGCCAACACATATGGAAATACAACCTAATATAATTCGAGCAATATTTTTTTAAAAGAAGAGCAGATAAATTGTAGTATTAATTCATCTGGGAGGAAATTAAAAAAAAAATACTAGTATATATTTTGTTTAAAAAACGTTGTGTTTAGATATTTTAATAAAAGGATTTTCCTAATTTAGGAACATTTACAGATAAGGTCAACATTCCATTATTTTTAATTATATTTTTTTTACTTCTCAAAGGCAGAAAACCTTCACATTAGAATAATAACTTATTTTGATTACAAAGTATGAAATCACCTCTGCCATCTGCTCTAGTTGTGTTGTTAAATCTGACAATTCAGTTTGAATGTGATTCTTCAATTTAAACATGGCCCTCATGTCCCCCTCTTTTTCGGTGTAATAGGATTATAGTGTAATTACATTTAGGTGAAATAATTTGGAATTGCTTTAGATATACTACCATCTGCTGTAGTATTTAAATTCTGGAAAAAAAAAAGCTTGCATCAACATAAGAATATTTTGCTTTTGGGGTTTCAACAGTGACTACACCGTATCTTTTAAAATGCTCAATTAGAATAAACGTTAATATGTACATGAGGCTATTATCTGCTTTGTAAAGAGTGAGAGTAAAGTGCTGTTTTTATTTATTGGAAACATTCCAATGCTATCCAGTAGTTATTGGAATGTCCTGTGTTAAGGGTGAGGAAAGTGGAATGCTGGGTGGGCAAAATTGCTGTTCTGCATAAGGAAGGTCGTTTACCTATCCTGCTGTTCAGCAGCATAAGCTACGGGATAAGAGAATTGCCCCATTGACACTACTCTTGTAAAGCAATGATTTCTTTTGGAAGACAGGTTAGGATCAAGATGAGACCATCCTTGTCTTCTCTCATTATCACTGTGTTGAGTTGTTGCCCAGTTACATATTGCCTTTTTATTTTTTATTTTTTTTTTTTAGTTTGCTATAGGACATGTGTGCTCACCAGAAAGAGTCAGAGAGGAGAGGAAAGTAAGAAATCACTTTCAAAGGGGGATGGCCATGGCCATGCTGCAAACGCTTCTCCTCTAGAGATTTTGGGCATGTACACACATGTACTCGGCCTAGTTTTCCAGCTGCTGGTTCCAGGACTTGAGCTGTGCAGTCGACCAGGCAGGATCCTGCTGTCTTAACCTCCATGCCAGCTGCAGGCCCTGTTTTGCCTATCTTAAGTTAATTTCTCAGAGCAGAATGTGAGACAAGATTTTATGTATAAATTGCTTTTCTAAAAGAAGGCTTACAGTATAACCCAACAAAAGAGTGGTAGTGGTGGGGGGGAAAGCAGGACAAGAAAGAGAAAGAAGTCAAGGAATAGTGCAATTTCAGGGAAAGGCTTCAGCCTGAGCCCAAGCTTGCAGGACAATGCAGAAGTCACATAAACGAAGCGTCAGTGTCATGTCTTAAAGCACAGGATTTGGACTTACATACCTCCCCAATATTGGCTGAGGGTGTCACAACGGACCAGCAGAAGTGCTGGCTTAATGAAACTGAGGAACACTTCCAATTGTTTCTTGTGTGGCAGGCAAAGCTGCCCCAGCAGGCTCACTAAGGGAAACCCTCCAGAGAAGGCTGCAGGTGCAAGCTCTTAAAGGCAAATCACAGAAGCTAGGCACCAGTCCCACAGAAACAGTTAAAGGGATTCAAAGAACCCGGGTAGGACGCCCACAGTCTGCTACAGTGGCTTCATACCAGAATTCCAAAATTCTGTGGATGTGACTTAAATTAGTGTAATGTTAAATATGATAGAGCATGCACATCAAAATATATACATACTGAATCCAATCTATTAAGTAAGACTACTAGTTTTCCCACAGAAATTATAAAACATGTAAGTATTATGATGAAAATGATCTTCATAAAGAGTTACAAGATTTTGGCATTGCCAACTTCTTAGCTTTTATTGATTTATTCTTGTAAATAAGTGCTCCCATATATTATAGACAGTGCTCAATGAACTCCCTATTGCATGACTGTTCAGAATTACCACGAATTCTGCACAGGGAACCCCCTCTCTCTGTGTCAGTCTCAGGAACCCTGTTTCTTGGACTTCGTCTTATTTCTGTGGTCAGTTGGTATTTACTACATGAAGTGTTCACAATCACAGAATACCACATATTTTGTTGATTAATTTGTACTTTATTGTGTCCCATAGCAATCCTCAGAATAAATAAAAATGATCACACCAAATTTATATGATTGTATTGTATATCTTCCCACTTTCTGGCATTTATCTCATTATGTTTTTTGTATGCATAGAATTACATTATTCCAGTGTGGCATTGCATGCTATCTATTGAAAAAATGCATACCCTATGGGACCACAACACACCACAAGACATTGGCCTTTAATCTCCTTGCTGATCAACCAATTTGCTAATGACCTAGTTGTAAGAACAGAACTAGTGAGGAAGACCTGTCATTTAAATTTGACATGTTAAGAAAGAATAATATTTGTATCTATTTGGATAACCAAGACTTTATAATTGGAAAGATTATAAAGTCTCTGTCTCTCTCTCTCTCTCTAGCAAGTGCATGTGCCCTAAGGCAAAAAACCTTTTTAAAAAAAAAATAAATAATATATATGTTTAAAGTATATTGTAAACCACTAACCGTATTTGATGATTACAAAAGGGAATCCTAGTACATAGTGTATTCCACTCTTAAAACTTTTTTTTATTATTCTCTCATAATCTTGACCATTACAGATATTTAAATTTTCTTTTCTTTTTTTTTAGAGGTTTTTGTTATAGGGCACGTGCGCTCACCAGACAGAGAGAAAGCAAGTGGGAAATCACCCCCAGGGGGGATGGCCATGCCACAATCCCTTCTCCTCCATTCTCCTCTAGGGATCTTGGGCATGCATCCACACGTGCCTGGCGTGTTTTAAGCCACCGGGTCCGGACCTCGAACACTGGTTGACTACATGAGAGTCCAGCGACATTGCCATTATGCTGACTACTGGTCCTGAGATATTTAAATTTTAAATACCATTTATTAGAGCACTTTTTAAAAATGTTTTAGACTTTGAGGACTAAATGGTGCAGTAGAGGTGAAATGCAGCACTCTGCATGGCAGACTCACACGAGTAGGTAACCAATTCACGTCAGAGACCTCCCTGAGTACACCTGACATAACCATGCTCATGATCCTGCAAGCTGCAGCTAGGGGGTGGATTGAAGTATCAAGACCTGTTGGGGGTGCTGTACCTCTCTCTCTCTCTTTCTAGGTCTCTTTCATTTGTAGAATAAGTAAATCAAACTAGTTTTTTAACATTTAGAGTTTCAGCTTACATTTGCTTCTTTTTCCCTTTGATTCCTTTCCTCTCACCCTCCCGCAGTCTTTGTACATAGCTTAAATGACATCTCTCTCTCTCTCACACACACACACACATGCACACGATTTCAAGTTAGCCTGAGGATATCAATATGTCACAACATATGTCACAACATAACTCCGATCACAATCCACCAAGGACTGGCAAGAATGAGAACAACTAGGATTCTCATAAATGGATGGCAAGTGTGTAAATTTGTTTCTACACCCTTGGAAAACTGGACATGACCATATTTTAATGACACAGAAATTATACATTAAAAAGATATTCAACAGAAATATATAGTATAAATATGTTCACCAAGAGACAG